GAACTTTTAAGCATATGAGCACTTCATAAGACAAAAACATGAAAGCCAAGCTAAAAAGTACAAATTTATAAAAATCAAAATGCATAAATTATATATTTTAAACAATGCAAATGTTTCTAGATACCAATTTTTGAGACATGGAAAGTGTGTGAATGAAAAACCATGAATGTACATCAAACTTTTCTTATAGAACACATCATGATGGCACTTATTCAGAAGATTTCATTAGTAGTGATAAAAGAACATGGGCCCACAACATCAAATCTTCCAAGAAATTTTTGAACTCATGAATCTGCAAACTTAGAAATGAAGTTTTCGTCCAAAAGAACATTTGTGATCTTTGTTGGAACACACTTTACATTACATTGAACTAAAGTCACGTTTGTTTCTAACAGATTTTGATAATTGCCAAACCGCCGTTGATATGAAGAGTTTCTTTGAATAACTCAAGGTGTGAAGTAAGGCATGGAACAAGACCAAGAGACTCAAGGACAATATCAAGATTTGAAGACTTAGTTGAGTCAGCTTCGTTGTGATAAAAAACTGACAATCAAATTAAGTCTCGGTTCTCAAAGAGTCAAAATATTTTTTATATAAAATCATGAAACGTTTTTATACATCAAATAAACGTTTTTCATAAGTTTTTAAAAGTTGTAAAAACCCCTGGTCTTTGCCCAAACCAAAACCACGTGTTCGGCGTTCGTTACTCGGCGTCCGGCATTCGGTATTCGGCGTCAGAACCAACCAAGTGGTTTTAAACATAGTTTTCAGAACCGAACTGGTGATCGAACCGGTCAAGGCACTGGTTTACTGGTCGAACCAGTGGTTCGAGTGGTTGAACCGGTGGTTCAAACATTTTTAATAAATAGATAAATAAAGAAATAAAGAAATATATATATACACACACATTGTGGCATTGAATTAAAAAAAACTAATATATGATTAATAAAAAAATATTTCCTCTATTTATAAATAAAGAATTGATGTTTTATTAAATTTATAATTTAACTTAATTTACTTGAGTTGTTTCATTAAATAAAAAATAAAACTTAGTTATTTAAAAAGCATAGAAATAAAAAATTATTTGAATTTTTTAAAACATTTTGTCTAGTATTTAAAAAAATATATATAATATTTGTGTGATATGCACTCCATATCAATTACCTCAATGGGTTTTGAATTTTAGTAAAAAAAAACTATGTATACTTAAAAAGTATTTGATAAAAAATTTGAATAAAGAGTATAAAAAATGAATAGTTGAAAGTTCCTACGAAGCAGTATAGCAGAGATGGCTTGGAGAGGTTCCTTACTCCCATGCAGTCCTGTGTTCGAACCCCCAAGCGTGCATTTTTTAAGATTCTTCATAAAAGATTTGAAAAACCGGATCCGGCGGTAAAATTGGCCGGTTTTAACCGGTTCCCACCGGTTCATAGTTGAAGGCGGTTTGAATGCCCGGACCGGACCTTTGGTGTCCGGTTCACCGGTTCCCGGTCCGAACCGGCCGGTCCGGTCCTGTTTTTAAAACTATGGTTATAAATATTTTATACATTTTTTTACCTCTAGGCATATTTAAAAAGTTCCTAAACAATCTTTTTATAAAAACTACTTGTGTATGATGATCAGTCGGTCTAAACACGTGAAAATTGATCAAAGTGGTCAACACGTGACTTACGATCTCGAAGACTTGGTTTTTAATAAACATGTCTTAGTTTCTATATTTTATACCATATACAATTTTTTTCAACCTTGGTTTTTTTTACTTTTGGGAACACTTTGTGTTTGGACCTTGGTTTTTCAAGTTGGGTTTTCGCTTGCTGGGTCTTGGCTAGGTGATAATCGATTGTCACTCTTCAACAATCGATTATCAGCCCCTTCAGTTTTTGAACTCTTAGTTCAGAACCATTCAATAATCGATTATCGCATATTGACAATCGATTATCATGGTTTCACTGCAAACCCAGATTTTTTCAGAGAGGTTTAATAGTCGATTATCAAAACTTGATAATCGATTATCAGTGCAACCGTTGCCCTCCAACAGATAGAATTTTAAATTTTTGGACAAGGAATATTTTGATAATCGATTATCATGTTAAGATAATCGACTATCACTCTGTGATTCTGAAAAATTTGTCCTGATCCTATTGGGAGTTCTTGCAACGGCTACACCATCTTTTGGCCAATAAATTGGTACCCAAAACCTCTGATTTTACACACAATTCTTCAACAATCAATACTCCTTCATTGTATTATCATCGTTTATATTTTCTTAGCTTTTTCTGAGCCAATTCTTGAAGAAATTGTCGTGTTCTTGAGCGTTTATTAGTTCACTCATATCAAATATCTAAGAGAGCTTTAATTCCCGAGTGTTTAAGTGTTTTTACACACTTGAAGGGAGGTTTGTTCCCTTGTTGTAATTCATAAGAAGTTTTCGTTCCTTCGTGTGAAGTCTTGGAGTGCGTATCTCCGAGCAAGGGGCGTTGAGGCTCGTGTGATTCGAGTTCTCAAGTTGTATCGGTTTGTTAAGCACCTTTAAGCTTAACGGAGTTACTATAACTCGAGAGAGTCTCTCGGGAGGCTGGACGTAGCCACACGTTGTGGTGAACCAGAGTAAAATACGGTGTGCTCCTTCCTTACGCTCTTTAATTTACCTTCTTCATTTTAAATTCCCGCGATTTTGTTTCAAACATTATTCACCACCTCTAGCGTTGGGCCTTTATTCTAACAATGTTGAATTATTTATGAAGCAAACAAGGACTCTAGGAGTGGAGATGGACTAAACCTGCTTATGTAGTAGTGTTATTATGAAATAAGAAAAGGAGACATAAGCAAAATGACTCTTCTAATAAAAGAACACATACGAAAGACCTTATATGTGACCTTATTAACTCATTATTCTTTATATAATTTTTTGATTTGAGATACGTTAACATATAGTTCATCAATTTTGTAATATATTAAGAGTTCACGGAGGAATAGATATTTCTTTATGATCAAAGAAAAGATGTTCATTGATTTTGCAGATATCACCTTTAGCTGCTGTAACACCCTAACTTGAACACTCTCGTGGACTATTCCAAATTAGAGAGTTAAGAGGAAATATAATAATTTCTTATAAAAACATCATATAAATATTTATTAAAAACAACGGAAACAAGTTTAAAATACAATATGTTTGTAAACATAACATCATAAAAAAATACAAACTTTTTATTCAAGGAAATAAAATAAACACATAACCGTATGTATTTAAACGGATTTAATTGCCATGTCAGGCACTTCCACTTGTTCCAGCTACATCACCTACGCACAGTAAAAACCAAAAATACTGTACGCTCATCATATTTGCTGAGTGGTACAAAACAATATAGGACGGAGTCTCGTAAAAATTATCGAAAATCAATATCTTACTTTTACAGAATGAATTTCCATATATGAAACTACATAGATATAAGTTAGATAAAAACTTTATAAAATATTTTATCAAACTACTGAGATACGAAATATTCAGTTTAACGACATATCCCTGGGGTCTCGGATGTAGCCCTGAGAAATAATGCCTTTTGGGCATCATTCTCGCAACCTTGGCCGATGGTTCTGTATACGTATACGATGAGCGGTGATAGGAGTCTCCTTCCGTTGCTACGAAATACAAGTTCATGATGATCTCAACTTGTCCAAACTTAAGATAATATAAAAGTTTGAACATTATTCCCTATACATCAAATCATTTTTATAAATCAATATTTTATAATAAATCACTTTTAAAAGTGTTAAAAATATTAATTTGAGAATAAAATACTACTTTGTATATTTTTTTTCTTAAAAAAAACTTTATATCATACAAAGAGTGTTTTGTTTTAAAAGTTTTTTACAAATATAATAGTTGAACTGGAAGTCCGTGCAATACGATTTTGTACATACCTCGAGTTCGAGAGAGAAAGTGAAACGGAGTTGTCGTAGACAAGTAAGGAACCGAGACTTTAGAGGTGTTATCGAGCTTTACCGAAGAACAAAAAAAATAGAAAAAAGTGTCTCAATAACCTGAAGAACACTTTAAAAAAATGCAGAATTTTCGGGAGAGTTTTCTCACCTTAAACGGGCTCTAAACGAACTCTTGTTGGCTCTAACTTCTTCTAATCTTTTGGGAAAGGTTTGGTAGATGATTGGAAGACTGAGGTCTGAAAATGGAAACAAATGCCATTTTCAAAACAAAAAAACCAAATTTGAGACAACAAACTGCAAGACCCAGAATGTCTACAACACCACACAAACAGAAAACATCCTAGAGCGTAAGCCAACTTGTAAGGAACAAGTAAGAGTTAACCAGTCCTAGGAATTTTGTTTTATAGCTTATAAAATTGATAATCACCAGTCCTAAAAAACTAAGATAAGTAACAGATTGAAACACAATTTGGCTTATTAGCTTAACACTAAATCCTCAAGTCAATTACAAATTAAAATTTCTAATATATATATATATAAAATTTAAGTGAAAAGGAAACAGAGTAATCATCCATCTTTTAAAAGAAGTTTAAAAGTATAATACTTCAACTTCACAATTCTACACCTGTATAGATATGATGAATGATTTTTCTAGTTACCAAGAATTCGTACGTCGAGGTGTCCTAGGAAACAATAGAGAGATGTTTATCCCTGAAATTGTAACAGAGCTCACAAGTTCATGGGAGGGGATGACTAAACGACTATTATTTTGTTCGAGAACAAGTCATTTCTAGAACCATATGTGTATCTCATGTTTTCTCAAAAGATTAATTGGCTGCTCTGCTAGCTAAAGCTTTGCCTCAGTCACATTTCTAGAGTTTAGTGTTTAAGTTTCCACTCGTTACACGTAGTTTAGCGTGAGGGGATGTTAGAGAGTAATATTAAGTATCCCTAATTATGTTACATGTTTTATTTTTATTAGTTTCCATTTGTTGTTACTGGTTTTATTAGGAGTCTTTTGTATATATAATCTACCATGCACTCCATAATTCTTGAGCAATACAATTATCCCTTTATTCTAACAGTAATATTACTATAGAACACAGAGAGATGTATAATTATTCATTTATAATACAAACCATTATAATAATTTCACATCTCAAACACACAAAATTAAACGTACATATTGCGTAGATCAACAAATCGAAAAATTAAAAGGAAACATGTAAAGGTAAAATTACATTTTCTTAAGAGGACAAGAGATAGAGTACAAATGCATTGGAAGTCTAGACTCAATAACAACAAAAAGGGGGGACTTTTTAGGGGTTGAAAGCCCAAAGGTCTCTTCCATGTTTAGGTCATTAGGTGTCAAGCCATCGGGTAAGGTCCATTTGAAGCCATGCAAGAAGTTTGCTAAGCTCGCTTGAATGACCTTAAGCCCAAGACTATACCCAGGGCACATTCTTCTCCCTGCACCAAATGGCAAGAGTTCAAAATCTCCACCCTTGACGTCAATTTGCTTTCCAATAAACCTCTCAGGGATGAATTCATTGGGTTTGTCCCACAAAGTAGGGTCTCTACCGATGGTCCACACATTCACCAAGACTCGAGTGCCTTTTGGAACGTCATAGCTTGCAACCTTAGAGTCCTCACGACATTGGTGCGGAGCCAACATAGGCGCCACAGGGTGTAATCTCATGGTCTCTTTAACAATTGCTTGGATGTAAGGCAGATTTAACATGTCCTTCTCTTCAACCCATTTCTCTTGCCCGATCACACGATCTAGTTCTTCAATTGCTTTCCCTAATGTTTCTGGCTTCTTAAGGAGTTCTGACATTGCCCATTCTACTGTCATTGCTGAGCTCTCGGTCCCACCAGCTAATAAGTCCTTCATGAAAGAAGTAGCAAATCCACCTTTTAAAAATCTTAGAGTATATATAGAAATGCACAAAGACAAACGAAACTTGATTTGAGGTTATGCCTTGCAAGATATCAAAACGGGCCAGGTGGCCACACTTTTTGGGCCAAATGTCATATTCGTCTTCGCTCATCATGAAGGTGAGCCAAATAGGCCACATGTAAGCTTAGCGCAAAACCTTTTTATATGTAAAAATATTTTTAACTATAATAGAAATAAATGTGCGTGAATGTAATAATTTTTTTCGTATTCAAATAAAATAATATTATTGTTATACATGCAACATAAATGAATTATCATTCTCAAATGTAAATACATGTTTTTATAATGTAAACTAGTGCATGATACACACACACACATTAGAAACCAATAAAATTAGTATTAATTATGGTAGTGTTTTTATATTATGAGATTCTATTATTAGGTTGAATCCTATTTATGTTAGGACTGCTCCTATATATACTCTATTGTAGTCTCCTTATATTCTTGTGTAAATCTATTATTCTAATATTCAAAATGGCATCACAGCCTAATCTTTTCTCCTTCTTCTCGACACCATAGTCTTAAAAAAAAATTATAATATTCATGAGCAAGGTGCTTTGTTGTCAGACGTGCAAGCTAGGTTGTTCACCATTTTCACTAAAAATTAGAACTATTGATGGTACTTTGGTCGATTTTGGACACTTTCGATATGGAGGTCTCAAGGCATACTATGGTTTCAATACAAGGTCTTCACAAAAGTACGTTAAGAACATATGATTTAAACTTTGATAAATTGACACTTCAGACAAGGTATGACTTTTTAGACATATTTGAAACTATTGAGGGTGCTTTGGTCAATTTTGGACACTGTCGTTGCAAAGGTCTCTAGGCAAAGTATGCTTTCAATACAAAATCTTCACAAACGTACGCTAAGCACATATGCTCCAAACTTTGGTAAATTGACACCCCGGACAAGGTATGACTTTTTGGACATATTTGGAACTATTTAGGGTTCTTTGGTCAATTTCGGACATTGTCGATGTTGAGGTCTCAAGGCATAGTATGGTCTCATTACAATATATTAGCAAAAGTACGTTAAACACATATATGATCCAAACTTTGGTGAATTGACACCCTAGACAATATGTGGCTTTTTAGACATATTTAGAACTACATAGGGTGTTTTGGTCAATTTTGGATTCTGTCGATGTGGATGTCTGAAGGCATAGCATGGTCTCAATACAAGATCTTCACAAAAGTGCGTTAAACACATATAATCCAAACTATGCTGAATTGACACCCCAGACAAGGTATGATTTTTTACACATATTTGGAACTATTGAGGGTGCTTTGGTCAATTTTGAACAATGTTGATATGGAGGTCCCAAGGCATAGTATGGTCTCAATACAATATCTTAACAAAAATACATTAAGCACATATGATAAAAATATGGTGAATTGACACGGCGGACAAAGTAGGTGCTTAATGTAATTTTGTTGAAGATATTGTATTGAGACCATGCTATCGCTTGAGACCTCCACATCAATAGTGTCCAAAATTGACCAAAGCAACATCAATAGTTTCAAATATGTCTAAAAAGCCATACATCGTCTGGGTGTCAATTCACCAACGTTTGGATCATATATGTGCTTAACGTACTTTTGTCAAGATATTGTAATTAGACCATACTATGCCTTGAGACCTCCCCATCGACAGTGTCCAAAATCGACCAAAAAATTCTCAATAGTTTTATTGCTTTTAGATCTAATTTGCATGAACAAGGTGGCAATTTCAATGGTCATGGTGGTCGGTCAATTGACATTGGTAGACGACAACAATAACATGTTGGCTCCAATGACTCCGGAAAAGGTTGTAACAACGCCTCTCGTGGTGGGCCTATTGTGTGGCAACTGTGTGGAGAGCGAGTGCATGGTGTAAGGAGCCGACGATTTTGGGAGCCATCACCGAATAGAAGCCGCGTAATTTGGGAGACCTAGCCGATTAGAGGTCGCGCATTTTGGGAGCCGTCGTCGGGCAAACCGTCATTGCCCTCCCTATGTCAATTCGGCGAGACCTAGAGAAGCCGCTGCTATGTTGCTTCAATGTAGGATGAAGAAGGATCGAGAAGCTAGATAGCAGCTAGAGCGGAATGTGTAGGTATAGAATCAATTGAATTGGGTTAGCACACATTTTGGTATGTCTTGATGCTCATTTGTATTCTGTGTAGCATTATATTTATTTCAGCGATTTGTTGAGTGATATGAACAGTACATTGATTAAAAATGAATACTATGTTATTTAAGAATGAACACTATTTTATTTCAGAATGACTATGTACTATGTTATATAAGAATGAGTACTACGTTATTTTAGAATGAATACTACGTACTTCAAAATGAAAGCTTATGTTTTATACAAGAATGAATACTACTTTATATCAGGATGAGACTACCCAGTTGCACCTTACTTCTGGTACAACTAACTATACCATATACAGACTCGAATTTGAGATTTATTATCGAATAAGAACATTTATATATATTTTCTAATTTCCAATTTAAATCTTCTCTTGTTGTTTACGAGATTTGGTTGAAGTTATACAAAGTATTAAATTTAACTAATTTGAAATTGTTGTGAAATTAAAAAACTAAAATTTACATATTTAAAAACTATATAAAGAATTTCTATAAAATAAGAGGTGACAAGATTATACTCCCTCCATCCCAAAAACTCCTTCTCCTTTCTATTTTTCTTGTTCCACAAACTCCTTCCTTTTTCTACTAAAAAACCACTTTTACCTTACTATTTCTTAACTTAACTATCACATTATACATTTTTACTAATAATCTATTCATCACATCAAATTTTTATTTATCACATCAAAGGTATTTTGGAAAGGCCACACAAAAATAACAATCTCTTAAATTTCATAAAAATAAAAATGAGAATTCTTTATGGGATGGAAGAAGTATTATTTAATAGAGTATCAATTAAGTAGTGACAAACATGATAAAAGTTTAGTTCACTAAATAATGAGACGAGCTAATAGAGAGAAAGTGTACAAATGTTTTGTAATGTTTTCTTAACTTGGGATAAGAAATTTTTGGTTTGTTGGGCTCAATGGTTTTGGGCTATGGATTGATATACTCGTATTGAGCATTGACTCCGTAGGGGCGCGACTTGGTTTTTACTTTTTATGGTGTGTTTTTAGAGTGAGGTTTATAAAATAAAAAGATCATTTGTTTTAAGAGTTAGTATTTTTCTGTGGTTGTAAAGTTCCCGTGTAAAACATGAACATTTTCACATTTTTATGCTCAATAAGAGTTAGATTATTCTTTTTATAAAAGACCCAATTCTTTTATGATATTAATACACTAAAGTTCATAAAATAAGCATATATCTTAAAACAGCGTAAGAATTTGCCTTATTTTTTAGAATCATATACTCATTCTCTCAATTTAAAAATTAATTTTTCGTTTACTATTTTGAAATTGAAATTTTATTCATTTTGTTGATCTATTTTTTTTTTCATTTAATAAAATAATATAGTCATATTACATCTAGTTTTGTAGATATTTTGATATTTTTGAAGGTATATAATTTATATTTTTCAAATCTACACTTTTTCATATAAAATGATTTAAAAACAGACGCATAATAAAAGATAATTTTTGAACAAATGGAGTATCATCTCCTTGTTTGGATTTTTATGAGATTTAAAGGAGAGATATTTTGTGTTGACTTTCACAAATTATCTTTGATGTGATCGATAAAAATAGGATGTGATTAATAGATTATTAGTGAATAATATTTGTGATAACTATGGTAAGAATTAATAAGAATAAAAGTAGTATTTTAACATATACTCCCTCCGTCTCAAAAAGATTTACACCTTTCAAAAAATTTGCGTCCCACAATCTCCTACCCATTTCTATTAAAAAACCACTTTTACCCCTTACTTTTTCAAACCCTACCTATCACATCATACATTTTTCCTAATAATCTATCCATCACATCATACTTTTACAAGGGTATTTTTGGAAAGTCAACACAAAATTATCTCTCCCTTAATTTCTACTTTAGTCAAAACGTGTAAATCTTTTTGGGACGGAGGTAGTAGAAGAAAGAGATTTTGAGATGAAGAAACAAGAAAAGTGGTAATCCAATGCAAGATTCAATGCGCTAATCACGTTTTGTGAAGGTCTACTAGAGAAGAGTAACATGGTAAAACAGCAATATTAGACTAGTAGGGAGTATTTGGAATTTGAGTAACACTATGGATACACGAAGTTGTACCCCAGCCAGCTTATATACCAACCTTCTTTCACCACACATTTTTTTATATATTCTCAAACAACTCTTAATTTGCAATATTGAAGATGACTGAGTCGGTGGAGCAACTTTTAATTTCACTTCTCTTCTATCAAGTCTTACAACTTTTTTTTATTTAAAAGTAATTTTTATTCATTATCTCCAAAAATTGGAAAAGTCAAACAAAAATATTTCTTTCTTCAAATTCTGTCACTCAAAATGAGAAAGAGATTTTCAGCGGGAAAAAAATAATACTCCCTCCGTCTCACAAAACATTTCTTGTTTTGATGTTTAAGAAATTTAAGAAGAGTGTATTTTGGTGTTGACTTTCCAAAAAAATGTCCTTGTAATACGTAAAAGTAGATGTGATTGATAGATTAGTAGTGAAAAAAGTATGATGTGATAGGTAGGTTAAAAATTCGTAGGGATAAAACTATAAAAGTGACTTTTTAATATAAATAAGAAAAGTTTTTTGGGACGAATGAAAAAAAGAAGAAAGATTTTGTGGGACGGATGGAATATTTATTTAATCTTTAATTAAAATTCATCTAATATTGCCCAAAATGTCACATTGGACGAATATATTAATAAAGTGAAATTCGCACTGAATATGACTAAAACAAAAGTCATTTCCCAATGTAGGACTTAAACTTTTTAATTCCCTAAATATGACTTAATAATGACTAGTGAGAAGAATAATGTCTAATAGATAATGATCAATGGTCCTATATATGGTCTTATATTGAGAAAATCATTATGTATTGGATAATTAAAAGAATACCTGTGTGAAGCCCTTGACTCCATCCCTCCCAATCTTAATTTCATTACTGGGATCATCTGCAAGTTGGAGCAAAACATCCACCATGTCCATGGCCACAAATTTGTCCCCCTCGGCCACCATTCGATCAATATGGTCCTCAAGAACATGCTCTAGAAACGTGTCAAACTTCTTGCCCAAGGCCTTCATCTTCTTGACATTTCCTTGCACGTCCATGAAAGCGATCCACGGGATTGAGTCCCCGATATCGAGCACCCCATTGAGCACGAACCACTCGTCTATCATTTTCTTGAATTCACCGGGGCTCACAATGTCATTACTCTGTTGGAGGTAATTCTTCCCCACCACCATCCGGCTGATGATGTTCAAGCTGAGGGTGGACAGATAGTCCTTGATGATTATTGGCTGCCCCGGCGATGAGCACGACCTCTCGTAGAGATCGTAGAGTATGGATTTCAACTCCTCCGATCGGATGTACTCGTAAGAGTCCAGACGCTTCGTGCTGAAGAGCTCCACGGCAAACATCCGCCGTGCTTGCCGCCAGTATGGGCCGTACTGCGACCAGGTCATGTCGGAGTAGTTGTATGCAGTGTACTTTCCTGCCGCAGTTTTAGGCCTGAAATATTTTTAACCATGCACATGGATTATGCGTTTGATTCGGTTGGAATATAAAAAATCATTCACTTACCAATTTGCCTCAATTAGTTCCTTGACTAGGTAAAAGAGTCTAGTTAACTAAGATGTCACGGGTTTAAAACTTGAAAAAAGTGAAATTTGCACTAAATAAGACTAAAACATAAGTCATTTCCTTATGTAGAACTTAAATTTTTTTATTTCATAAATAATACTTAATAATTTCTAGTGAGAGGAATAAAGACCAGTGATGATGGACAATTACTTGAATAATGACTAGTGGTCCTACATTGAAAAAAATAAAAACATATAGTCTGAGAAAGTCATTATGTTTTAATCTTATTTAGGTACATTATTCTCGAAAAAACTACGTTTACATATGAAAGAGCGTGTTAGAATATAAAAAATCATGGACAAGAGCTGCAAGTTTAAGCTTTGGTTGAGTTATTTTCGACAAACTCATTCATTCATTCCTCTAGAATCAATCGCACCTGTCGAGGAAATTGATGTCCATGGTTTTGAGGAAGATCTTTGCCATTTCGACGGACGACCCGACCACAACCGGGAAGGAGCCGAACCGGAGCTGCATGATGGGACCGTACTTTACGGACAAGTCGTGGATGGAGCGGTGCGGTAGGCTGCCGATGAGGTTCAAGTTCCCGATGACGGGCCATGGTTTTGGTCCGGGCGGCAGATTAAGTTCTCTCCTGCGGCGGAGATGATTTGCTAGCAGAACAAGTGCGGCGGTTGATAGCCACGCCGCCGCGTAGCCAATCCATGCTGAGCCTAATTCCATTATCAGACAATATAAGAGGAGTAATTAATTTACACGGCAGTTTCTTTTCTTGTCTTTTTGTATATGAGGATTTGTGGTATATATATTCCTGGGCCAAGGCTGGAGAGGGAGAAAGATGGTCATTTGATGATTTACAATAATACAAAAAAAATATTAGTGCAATTTTTTTTTTTATTCTACTAGTATTTTGTGATAGTGAGAATCATTGAAATATTAGTACATACTCCCTCCGTCCCCCTATATTTGTCCACATTTGACTTTTGAAACTGTTCATCTAAGCACTTTGACTCATCAAATTATCTCAATGTGTAAGCCTAAATATAGTCATGTGTGATCTTGTTTGATTTATCTTAACATATAGATTATTAATATATAATTTTTATAATTTTTTAATATACAAATTACAGGGTAAAATGGATTAAAGAAGTGCATTGGATGGTGTGTAAAAATGAAAGTGGACAAATATATGGGGACGGAGGGAGTACATTCTTTTAAAATACTGAGTATAATCTAATCTAGAATATATTTCATTGTTATTAATTACTCCGCATAATGGAAAAAAGATACCGATTTCAAATACCTTTAATGGAGAAGCCATTTTTTCCTACCCGGAGTAGGTAAGAATCAAAGTTTGGGAAGCTACTAGCCACTAGGTAGGATGTTTGAAAATTTGGATTGCCAATTTTCCCTTCCGCTTGATACTGACTGCTCAATAATGATATCAAATTAGAAAAATGCTAAAAACCCCACCCTTGCTACCACCCATGCCCTCCTACATAAACATGTGGTAAGGAGGCAAGAAAAATAAAATTAGAGGGTGGGTAGAGAATGAGTAGAGATAAATATGTGGTGGAGAAGTGGGTGGAGGCAAGATTGGTAGCAAGGGTGAGAGGTGTGTAGCAGAGTCCATCAAATTATACGGTTAAATATATACTTTTAGTCTTTGTGTTAGCATTATGTATATCTGTTTATATTGTAGTATTGTATATTGGGCCTGTCATGTTGGGCCCGGAACTCTTGTATATATACCTTTACGTATCAATGAAATACACAAGCAATTCAGTTCATAAAATTCTACATGGTATCGGAGCATTTTTCTGGGAAGTCACGTAAAACCCTAGAAGTCTCCCGTCTACTGTCGCCGCTGCTCCTCGTCCCGTCGCCGTTCGTTTCTCGTCGCCGGTCGGTCTGTCCCTCGTCGCCGGTAGTCTGTCTCCCCGTCGTCGCCCTTGTCTTCACTGGTCGTGCGTCATCTTCTCACCATGTCAGCCGAAGGTAACCCTAAGAAAACAAGATTAATTCATGATCCGTCGTCCGTGTATTATCTACATCCTTCCGAAGGTCCCGGTAATTCCTTGACCAAATATTTTTTAAAAAGTGATAATTTCGATATTTGGGAAAAAGCAATACGCAATGCACTTGGTGGTCGTGGTAAATCTATATTCTTGTCCCCCGGTGGTATTCTCCAACCCACCGATGAGCATGAGTTATCTGCATGGTCTGCCAATAATCAAATAATTTGTAGTTGGATCTTCAACAGTGTTGATGAGTCAATTCAACCTAGTATTGTGTCTCACACTGTTGCATCTGTGCTTTGGGAGGATTTGAAGAAGCGTTACAGTTGTTCTAATGGTCCTCGTGTGTACCAGTTAAAATCTGACTTGCATTCCTTGCGACAAAAGGGTCAAACGGTCGTCTTTTATTATAATCAATTCATTACTTTGTGGAATCAACTCAATGGTACATCTGATCCCACCAACGGCTGCAAGTGTGAGGCGGCTGTCCTCACGCGTGCTCGTATTGAACGAGACAAAACCATTGAATTTTTACTCGGCTTGGATGATGAACAGTTTGGTTCCATTCGGTCCTAGATTCTTGGAACCGAACCTGTGGTAGACATTGACCGTGCTTATTATCTTGTTTCTCAGGAGGAACGTCACCGGCACATTGTGCGTTCTCGTGATGATCGTACAGACTCAGTTGCCTTTGCGGCTAAGTCGGATCGTCGTCCATACTCGTCTGGCAAATTGTTATGTTCTCATTGTGGACGGACTAATCATAATGTGGAAACATGTTTTGAGTTATTTGGTTTTCCATCTCAGTTCGGTTGTGGAGGAGGTACCCGTGGTGGAGCAACCCGTGGTGGTCGTGGGGCTGGTCCACCCGTCGGCAGAGGAGGCCGCGGGCCTGGTGGTGGCCCGGGCAGTGGGCTTGCTCCGTCCGGTCGTGGCAGTGGGTCGGCTACTGTCCCTGCTGCGTCAGTTCATGCTGCCTCGGGAGATACGAATGGTGCTCTTAGTGATCAGATGAGCCGTCTCATGTCTATGTTGGAAGCCTCCGCCTCACACACCTATTCGGGTAATTTATTCTCTCCTTGTGACTGGATTATTGATAGTGGTGCCTCCCACCATATGACGGGTACTTTGTCTCATTTGTTTGATTTAATGGATGTAACTCCTCGTCCCATATGTCTACCTGATGGATCTCGTATTCTAGCCACACAGAAGGGAAGTGTTCAGTTATCTCCTCATTTGGTGCTTCATCGTGTCTTTTTTGTTCCTACTTTGCACTACCATTTAATATCTGTAGGATGCTTGATACGAGATACTACTTGTCATGTAATTTTTAATGCTCATGGTTGTGTAATACAGGACCGTTCGTCGAAGACGGTGATTGGACAGGGTGAACTGAAGAACGGAGTTTATCAGTTTGCTTCCTTTCCTGCGTCGGCCAGTGCTGCTCAAATTGATCCGTTTCTCCTTCACCAACGATTGGGTCATCCATCACCTGATATTTTTTCTTTCTTTAATTTTAATAAATCCCAATCTGTTGTCAAGAAACTTCAAACGTGTGAGATTTGTTTTATGTCCAAACAAACTCGGTCTTCTTTTTCTGTTAGTCATAATAAAGCTCAAGCCGTTTTTGATTTGATTCATTGTGACTTATGGGGGCCATATACTGCTTGTTTGTCATCTGGTGCTCATTATTTTCTCACCATTGTGGATGATTTTTCCAGGGCTGTTTGGGTGTACCTTATTCGTACAAAGAGTGAAGTCACTTCCTGTCTCTAACGTTATTTTTCAATGATTCACACCCAATACACTAAAGTCATAAAGGTCGTTCGTTCTAATAACGGCACTGAGTTCCTAAATACTTCTTTACGCCATTATTATGACTCTATGGGTGTGTGTATACAAACTTCCTATGTTGGTACCCCACAACAGAATGGTCGGGTCGAGCGCAAACACCGTCATATTTTAAATGTTGCTCGTTCTCTTATGTTTCAGGCCTCTTTACCCGTTGAATTTTGGGGGAAATGTGTCAAAACGGCAGTATACTTGATTAACCGTACTCCTACTAAACTTCTTGGAGGTAAATCCCCGTTGGAAATTTTATCTTCGAAGCCTCTAGATTTAAGTCATCTCCGCGTCTTTGGTTGTTTATGTTTTGTTCGTCTCAATCCCAAACCCACAAACGAATTCTCTCCTCGTAGTGTCAAATGTATGTTCGTTGGGTATCCTTACAGTACAAAAGGGTGGCGGGTTTATAATCTTGACACTCATAAGTTTTTTCACACCTGGGATATCATCTTCGATGAATCTCAATTCCCGTTCGCTGTCCCGACCTCCTCTCCTTCTCCTCCGCCTGTCCTAAATCCGCCTGCCGAGGACTTTCCAGTCCTTCCGTCACAGTTCCTCAACTCAACTGCCGAGCAGCCCAGTCACGTCACTCCCGCCGAGCAGTCCAGTCCCGTCACTGCCACCATACCCACCAGCCCGCCACTGTCTCCCACCCCTTCTCTGTCGCCGACAAGCGATGTTCCGTCCGTCAGCCCGTCCTCTTCCTCGGGGGAGACCACTTCTCCCTCTGATTCTCCAGTCCCCTTACCCCCACGTACCCGTCGTCTACCTTCTCATCTGAATGACTATGTCTTTAATTCCGCAACAGTTGATACTCCGCTCTCTTCTTCCTCCGGTTCGGTCTCGTCAGGTACTCGGTTTCCTATTACTAACTATGTTCATTATAATAAGTTGCATGACAGGTATAGAGGCTTTCTTGGTGCAATTGATGCTTCCCGGTGTCTAAAAATTTTAAGGAAGCTGTACAGTATGCCTCTTGGAGGGAGGCTATGGCACAAGAGTTTAATGCTTTGGTCCGGAACCATACTTGGGACATCGCCACTTTACCACCGTATCGCAGGGCCCTTGGTTGTCAATGGGTGTTCCGTACCAAATACAAATCTGATGGCACAAAGGAACGAGACAAAGCTCGTCTGGTGGTACTGGGGAATCACCAAGAATTGGGCATTGACTTCACTGATACCTTTGCCCCTATAGCTAAGTTAGCTACTATTCGTGTTTTATTATCTGTTGCTGTTGCACGGGGTTGGCAGGTTGATCAGCTGGATGTGAATAATGCCTTTCTGCATGGGGACCTTCATGAGGAGGTTTATATGAAGGTTCCTTGAGGCTATACTGATTTATTTCCAGGGAAGGTTTGTCGGTTGAGGAAGTCTTTATATGGGCTTCGTCAGTCTCCCCGGAACTGGTTTGCTAAGCTCCGTCATGCACTTCGTAGCTATGGGTTTCGTCAGGCACATGCTGATCACACTCTATTTGTTCTGAGTCGTGGGCCTCATATGCTTGTGGTTTTGGTCTACGTTGATGATATCCTAGTTGCAGGTAATAATCCCTCATTATGTTCTTCCTTCAAGCGATATCTGGATGATTGTTTTCAGCTCAAAGATCTCGGCCCGGTCTCTTATTTTTGGGAATTGAATGTGCCCGGAACTCTTCTGGTATGGTTCTTAATCAACGTAAGTATACTCTTGACATTATTCAAGAGCATAATTTGTCTAGTTGCAAGCCTGCTGAGACACCTATGCCGTGCGCTCACAACCCTGCTCGTTCCACTAGTGCTGCGCTGCGGGATCCGGCGAAGTACCGACGGCTAGTTGGCCGTTTGCTGTACCTGACCATTACTAGGCCGGATATTTGTTATGCGGTCCATGCCTTTTCTCAATTTATGC